CGGGCCTACTTTCTCTATTATTCATGATTTTTGCATCAACTTGACAATTGCCCATTAGACGGTTGTTTTTTTGGACACACAAGTATGCAACATTCGCTGAAAAAGCAACATCAAATAAAAACATCGGCATCTTATGAGATGTAACAAAAAATCTCCATTCAGTCAGTGGCCCGCTTCCGTGTGGTTGTTCGAAGTTTTGCATGCCCTCTACGAGCACTAGCAGCAGCTCGGTTTGAAACCTAACTCCCTTTCAACTGTTGGGTTTCTACTCATGCCATCGCAGGAACGAGCTAGATGTAGGAATTGGCCATTCTGAGTTTCGACATCTTTGAAAAAAAATGTGCAAGGTTTGCGCATTAATTCAATTTTATCTTTCACGTCGACTGATGTCTGGAGTTGGGTGCTGTAGTGGTGGGCAGAGCGGCCGGAGAGAGAAATACTGTGCCAAGTTGGCCATCAACAACCTCGTGGGCTTGCTTCGAATCTAGAGCTCGTCTACGCCATGAAAACCCAACCAGTAAGTGGACGGCAAGGCCCACTGACCACATCTTTGTGACGGAGCTGCTCTCCAACAACAGCTGCATGACGCATCTGACATTGCCGAGACGCCACCAAAATGTATCAATACCGATTTGGCTGCGGATGTTCCATTGGGACGGCACGCCTACCTTCGCTACGAGAAGGTAGCGGGGCTGAAGAGGCAGTGCCGCAAGCCGAGCATGGAGCGCTTCGGGAAGCAAACCTGCTCAGCTTCGTCGATTTGAAGCCAAGTCAAGAACTCGAAGATCTGCTGGTCGAAGCGTCAGCTCCGAGCTCGTAGCACCAGCCTTTGGCCAGATCATGCAGCAGCTAACTGGATGAGCCCTTCGATGACCATTGCGTCGCACTCTCGACGATCTTCTTGGACAGATGACTCTTCTCGGTCCCCGGAAAGCCCGTCAGCGGCTAGTGGCTCTGTGTTCCACCGAGAGCCTTCCTGACGGAGGCAGCCGGATGTGAGCCTTGTCATCTCCCATGCGAAGCGGCTCTAGACTCCAGATCAACGACCGAGCATCCCCTGATGCTTCAGGGCTTGACTCTGAGAAGGAGAGTCTGGCTAAAAGGTCATAGTTTCGTTCCCCAGAGCCTAGAGTGAGGTTTCGGAGCCGCTCCATTTCTGGACGGCTCCTAGTAGGGCGCCGGATCCGCTAAGAGAATCCGAGACATGCTACTTGTGCTACGCGGTTATGTAGCATATGCAGCATGGCCGTTTCCTGGTGGCCAAAAGCCGCGTAGCATGTGCATGCTAAATTCGCCTCCGTTCCCGGTGGCCCACGAAGCCACGTAGCAGATGTAGCATGGTAAATCGCCGTCATTCGCAGTGGCCCGCAAAAATGCAGAACAGATGTAGCATTGGTTCTTGGCCCATCTGAGGTTTCTTAACAGCTCCGAACCTGGCGATGCTCAGTAGAAGGTGGTTGAGCGAGTAAGTGCTTGGAAGGCCAGTAGCGTCACCGTAGGCAGATTTTCTTGCGATTGGAACAGAGTTGCAAGAAGAGGATTCGTCAACGTTGATGATACTGTGTTTCTGAAGTGGCGAATGTACAAGGTCTTTTTGTCTCTCCAGTGAATCTTCTTAATCCTCAAATTGCAACATAATGGTGGAAAACAAGCCTAGAAATTTATGACTTTTTGCATAGTTTTGGGCTAGCAGAAGCTGCTGACAATCGTGCGGAATCAGTTGTACATTACTTTCGACGTTTAAACAAGATCTTTCCAGTACTGTGAAGGCCCTTCCGCAGCTGTTGCCACATCTGGAACTTTCGAAATTGACAAGCTGTCCTGTTTCTAATCTTCCAATCGTTACTCCAAAATTCAGAAGATGCACACAAAAAGACTTTTTCCAGACCAGACCACAACAACGGCGGTCAGAAAGAAAAATTTTTTTCTTGGATTACCTGGCCAGACAGTTGAAAGTTTTTGAAAGAAAAGAAAAATCAGTTGAGAGCAAATAGCTGTTAAGTGGATCTCTTTTTGCTGGAATTCCTTGTTGTCAGTCAGAATTGGAGTTCACTTGAACCTCAACAAGGTTTCCCCCAACACACCATGTGTTCTTAGTACAAGTCCCACCGCTTTTACCACTGCTGCACCCAACGCCCAGCGAGAGCTCCCGTGAGTAAGTTTAGGGTTTTGGTTTTTGTGCAGCTAGAACGTAGCAACGGCCTTGTGCCCGCTACATTCAGCGAAAGCCGTTTTGTGCAACAACACGCCCGGTTCAATGCTTCAAGCTGGCAGTCCGACGAATGCAGCCGCTTCGTGTCAAACTTGATGGGTCACGCGACTACCCGCCATCGCGTTCCAGAGTTCCCAACGTTTTGCCAATGATGCTGGCGTTGCTGATGCCGCTGGCGCAGCATGTCAGATCTTAGACGTGCAACTCAGTCGGAAGTGTGTGCGGATTATTGTTAGTTCACGCCGAGCAGAGGTAAGTGTCCGTGTGTGTGTGTGTGTCTGCGTGCACGTGCGTGTGTGTGTGTGTGTTGCAGCTTGAAAACTGCCCCAGCTCCTGAACCTTGAAGCTATATTGCTGAAGGTGTTTCACTCTTGGCTTTGTGGCGGCTGAAATGAAATGTGCACGGCAGAAAGCGATGCTTGTCTTGCATCTGGTGGAAGATCAGGGTGCCAAGAGAGATTTTGGTCCCATAAACCTTCAGGGACTGTCGGGTTACGCAGGAAGCTTCCCTGCCCTACGTGTTCCTTGACGATGGCTTTTGCCGAGTACCCGCTGCACCCTTGTCCAGCAAAGCTCCGAGGTTTCAGTGGGGGCTTCAGGGAATGCTTCTGATAGTCTTGCTTTGTTTTGTCGGCTTGACCGGCTTTTCTTTGCCTTTGAAGCCCCGTGTGAGGTCGTTTTACGTGTGGACAATGGAGGAGGAGCGTAGGAACCAGTATTGTGAAATGCGCCTTCATTCAAAACAGTGGGAAGACGTGAACTGGGTTGTACTGCAGACATTTGCCTCGCCACGTGTTGAAGCCTTTTGGGGACGTTGCTGCGCGTTGCAAGAGGATGCTCCAGACGGTCAGTAAGCTCTTTGCGTGTGACGTCCAAGTCCGTTCCACCGACGTGTGTTCAAAAGAAGCCTTCCACGCGTAAGTTTGCTGAAGCACTATCTCAACAGGGCGTGCTGCTGTTGTATTCCAAAGCACAGCGGCCTCCCAGGCACCTGGCATATAACAGTTGGCGAGTGGGCGATTTGCACAAAGATGCAAGCAACCCGCGTGCCTTTGCATGGAAGGCTGCTGCAAATCAATCAGGCGCATTTGGAGTTTGACGGTTCTGATGTTGGCCAACCACTTCCAATCCATCCGATGGTCTAGGTGGCTACTTCATCTACGGAAGCAGCTATGCCACGGGGCGCAGGTGCAACCTCCAGCAGGCCGGCTGGGCAATCAGAATCGGAGACGACGCGAGCTGCAGTCTTGTCATTCGGAAGAAACTGGGCTCCAATCCTTGAGACTTTCTATCGAATTGCTCCACCGTCGCCACTGTTGCGTGCTGCTTACATGTCAAGATGTGAAGGAGGCTCGTGTGTGTGTGGGGGGTCAGGTGGAGATCCAGCTCCCCTGTGCATTCGTTCAAAGCAAGCGCATCCACCATGGATGCTTCGGCGGTGGCGGTGAGCTCAATTGGGGAATCCAAAGTCGTCAGAAGTTGGTGCAAACGCTATTGCGTGCGTTCAGTTCTTGGTTTGTGCTCATTTTGCCGAGGTTGGTATGGAATTGCTTTTCCATCACAATTGTGAAAGTGCTGACAAGATGCACAAAATCATACGTGACGGGAAGCAGGAAGTTCAAGATCTCATGCATGACAAGCAGGAGGCGTGACTTTTGCACAGTTTCGGTTCGCCTAGTATGTGTGCTTCTTCTCGTCTTTTGCCATCTCATCCCATACTCCGGTAAGCAATCCATAGAGGCGATGCTCGATTCATCCAGCACCAGGGAAGCAGAAGCCAAGATCAGTGACATATCGGATGACATTGGGCAGTTGCGGCACCACCTACTGCATGCCAAGGAGGCCGGCTGTTAGATTACTTTTTGCATGAGCTTATGTGGGTTGAGGGTTTCGGGTTTAGGCTTGGGGTTGAAGGACTGCCCCGTAGCGCATCCTCTTAGGGAGCGAGCACGATGCGTTGAACCCCGCGAAAAGACGCGGTCGACCCAAAAGCCACAGACGCAGATGCGCCCCGAAAAAGGGTTTGTGGCGATGTTGGTCCCTGTAGCGCTTGACTGTGCAGAGGCCATCCGGCTCGAGAACAGCTGGCATAGACCCGAGCTGCCGGAGGTTGTCACGCTGTCCCTGCCTCTGACCGTGACTGTAGCATCTCCAAACGATCATGCGCACGAGCTATCAAAGTTCGTGGGCTCGATGTTCGAGAGTGGTCACGGAAGTCAAGGCAAAGATGGAGCCTTGTCGAAATTGCAAACGCAGCTGGCCCTTTAACTTCCCGCGCGCCCATACTGTCACATTGCGGTAGTCTCATGCCAGGCTGTTTGTTGAATCCAGCTTGCCTCCTGTGCCCGGACCTGTCGCAGATTGAAATCAAAGAGTGAGCGATCTGAGGTGAACTGTCGGCTCCGTCCGAACACATCTTGTCTGCCGGCTCTCAAGCGTTCTGGTACAAGGTTCGGCGTTGTGAAACTGGGGCAGGGTCTGTTCGTGGATATTTCGGGTTCTCTGCTGAAGCCACACATGTCCAATTAGCCAAATCGCCAGACTCAGCATGCAGGCTTGCAATGGATCAGTCGGCTGGTTTGTGTTGACAAACCCAATGGAGCTCGCCGTTGCAGACTTCCATGCCATGCGCGGACGGATCCCGGAGGCGCAAGGGCTGTCGTGTTGGAGTGTTGGGCTGTCCAGTTTGTCGAGGCAGCGATTGCGAAGAGCGTCGAGGACTTTGGATCGGTGGACGTCAAGTTGGTGAATGTGGACGATCGCTATCTGGCACGACCCAAATTTACCCCTCTTGAGGAGAGAGATGTGTCACAGTGTGTGAACCTGCCTCTTGCCCTTGGGAGAGGTTGATTGTGTATTTTTGCGAAAGGAGTTAAAATGGTGCCTGTCGCGCTCCCGCTAAGAGGCAACAGCAAAAGTGGACAGCCTGAAGAATGGATTCGCATGGAAACATGTCTAAACCGTCATGAAGGTTCGTCGGTTGTGCGGGCTTGCGGGATGGGTGTTCGTTAGGGAGATTGAGGCGGAAGAGGGGAGTGTTGACAGAAGCAAGCACGAAGCACTGAAGAAATACAGAGTGGTTTAGTTTAACGTGCAGTTTGCTGGAGGGTGCCTCTGGCTGGGGATAGGCATGAACGCTACCAAGCAGCAAAAACCATAGACGTGCTGATCCATGTGTGGCGCTTGCAGTGTGACGTACTTTGGGAGGCCATTCTGCAATCGTCTGGGGCAGTGAGCGGTTCGTATGAGGGTGTCAGGATTGGTTTGTATTGGTCTGTGCGAGACACCTTGGGCGAGGCATGTCGGTGTGGAGGCACGTCGGTATGGACAACCCTGCATTTGCTGAGCAGCTCAACCGTTGATTCGCATTTTTTCACAGATGTCTTCGAGGATTCATGTTCTATTAAGTTCTATTCTAACCGTGATAGCGGATCTGATAGTGTCCACGCTTGTCTTGCAGCATTGACACCGTAGAAGCATAGCACAAACATAGTACGCTTATCCCAACCATGCTAACTTGGCATGCCTGTACTGCAATTTGTGCCTACCAAACCTCTCGGGTCCCAAGCGCCCTAATGCTCGGATGAGGCCACGAACAGAAGCATTCTTGAAACAGTCACCGGGCTTAGCCAGGCATCTTCCATGACCGCGCATGCCGAGACTTTTCGAGAATGGCATGTACCGGTAAACGGAGCAACCCACAGGCCCCAGAAATTGGAGGAAGGACAGCCCCTCAACAAACCAAGTCTAGGCTGATCCAGGACATTCCAGGAGGGGCGGGAATTCGCAGCAGGTACTTTTCCGTGAGAATCCCAGTATGCACAGTGCAAAGTCCCATGCCGCATGTGAATCCGTTCGCGAGGAGAGCGCCCGCATGCCGAAGTTTGTGGCCATCATGTCCGGCATCTTGATCATGCTCTCGGTCGGGCACATGTCGTTCTCAGCAAACCGCGACAACAGAGACATTGGAGTGATGGTGATCATTGCGATGCTCGTCGCCTTCCCTGTCCTTCTCATGGCAGGGTTGCTTTTTCTTCCCTACGACGTCTTTGGCTCGTTAGACTGGGAACTGGCATTGGCTGGAACAAGGTTCGTCGAGTGCTTCACACAGCAGGTCCCCGCCATCTGGAACAATCTCAATTGGTTTGGGCGCTTTCTGCAGTTGCTTGCAATTGCTTTTTGCTGGTTTTTCGGCCTTTCCCTATTGGTTGGTCTCCCAGTGGTATTCGGCGTTGGGATGATTTGGAAGTGCTGTGACTGGGCGTTGGTTACGCTCTGGCCTTGGCAGCTCGCCCTACTGATTGCGTTTGGTGCGACTTGGTTTTTCCCGCTTGCTGGAACAGCGTTCAGTATCGTTATCAGTGTTGACAGTTCTGGCATGAGCCTCTTCATCCCCATGGGTTGGCTGGGCCTGTACAAGTTGCTGACTATGTTTGTCCCCTTCGGTGCGCTGAACGCTTGGCCCGGGCCCGCGTCCTTCCTCGTGTTCAAACTTGGCTGGGTTGGAGTACCGATGCTTGCTAGCACCATCATCGCTCCATGGCTGATTTTGCCAATGGGGGCTTACTTCAACAACCGCGCCAATTGCATCGACGGCTTCGACTGGGAAGTCCACCTGACCTTCATCTACGTGGTGTGCATCAAATCTCTGTATTGGCTTATGTTCACCGGCGACCAAAAACTATTCACGCGCCTGTCCACGCTGGTGTTCTACATCATGGCCGAGATGGACATGTACACCGATGCCATGTTTGTTGCCATCGCCACTTCCTGCGGATCATGGTATGGCAGCGTGTCGTTCACCGTGTTCGTGGTCGGAGTCCTCGTGGCACAGCTTTGCATACCTAGCTTCTATCTCAACATGAGCGAGAACAGTGCAATAGCGGCAGTTTGGCAGATCATGCAGTTTCCGATGGAGTCGCTACCCGAAGACGACGGTTACAAGCCGCTTGCGCCGGCCCGCACCTCCAAGGTGTCCCCAGACCTGAAAAGGAGGCAGGCTGCGATGCTTGCGATAATTCGGTGCGTTTTTGAAGACTTGCCCCAGTGCTTCATTCAGTACCTCTTTACTATTCATGTCAAAAAGAACCCGCTCATCGTTTTCAGCATCGCGACCAGCGCTGCCAGCTCGCTGTTTGCAGTTGGCAAAGCTGTTGGTTGGGGGTGTTGCTGTTACAAATGATGTCTTTCCTGTCCTCCCCAGCAGTGGGGCAGCAACACGTGCATGCAGAGGTAAAAGAAGCGCCTGCTGGCATGCGCGCTTGCTTTGCCTGTTGCTTGTAGCTTGAACGGCATTGGCGGAGGCTTGGAGTGGCATGTCGTGGCTTTTGCCGACGTCTTCTCAAAGCACCCAGAATCTCCGGCTTGGTGGATATAGGGTCGGGGGTCACCAACATGGCGGCTCATTTCTCATACCGGCATCGCTTAATAGTCCTTATGACCGCGCACCAGGTCTGAGTTCAGTACCTGCATCTTGAAAGAGGTTCTATGAATAACGTCTAGTTAGATGTCTCGCGAGCCTTTTGACCGGGATGGATGCACAGAGCTACAAAGACCACTGCCTGATCATCATAGGCAGCGGAGGCCCAGCCGATGAGATTCTCGCTCGCAGGAGGCTGTCTGCTGGAGGTCGGCTGTTGCATATCCAAGCTCGTGAAGATGACCGCGTCACCACCCTGACCTTGGAAGACCTTGCCAGCTGCTTCTTCTGGCAGCCCCCTCAGGACCAGCTTTAGATTAGATTAGATTAGATTATATTAGATTAGATTAGATTAGATTATATTATATTATATTATATTATATTATATTATATTATATTATATTATATTATATTATATTATAAGAACGAATCATAGAAGCAGAAACTGCGAGCATCGTCTCCGCGTTCCACAGGTC